ACTTTCACCCTTAGATTATTGGGAAAATTGACATTTGATTTGTAAATTAATCTTGGTTGCCAACTATCAGTCTGTCACGACCCAAAATTCCCTCCTTCATGGCGCATAACATTTCACTTGCTAGGCAAGCCAATGTTAGAATATAATTAGCCATTTTAACAAAATTTTAAATTAATTAAATAACAAGAAGACAAATGCGGAAATAAAATCAGAAAAGAAACCTAAAAATGGGCGCCAAACCATAAACTTTCCCTATCAGACGGGAATATCGGTAGCCGGTCTTGCTATCTTTTCTGTATTTTGGGTTATTTCAGGGTGTAATCCGAATTCTTTTACTTTACTGTCTTACTTTCTGATATAAACCCTTCTATTTTTTTTTACCTATAAAATTCAAATAAATGAAATCAATATTTCATCATCCATGAATGTCTCTTTTATTAATCTTGTCACCTTTCTTATTCTCTTTTCAATTTTGTTAATGCAAATTTTAATAATATGACATGCTTGCGGACTTCATGCCCAGATCCTAAAACGATGTCAGGCCTTGAAATAATGAATCAAGAAGTAGAATGTGCCGAAGATAAGGCTTTTAAGAAAATAAACAAAGAAGGGACAACAAGCCTAAACCAAGTCCAAATGAAAACCGCCCTTACTTGATTGGTTTATGGCATTGTAGCCATAATATCAGTAGAAGTTGAAATTCCTTCTCTTCGAATCATTGTTGAAACCGAGTTCGAGGATGAAGATTGAGTCAAGACCCGACTGAAGAAAATGACTTTGGTTGATGAAAAGCGATTGACTGCAGTTTGCTACAGGCAGTTGTACCAACAAAGAATGGCCCATGCCTACAATAAGAAAGTGCGGCCCAAGATATTTGAAGTAGGACAACTCGTTCTGAGGCGTATTCTTCCGCATCACGAGGAAGCTAAAGAAAAATTTACCCTGAATTGGAAGGTCCATACATTGTAACAAGAGTGCTGCCAAAGGGGAGTACTGTATTTGGGAGACATCGAAGGAAATGTTCCTGATACAACTGTCAGTGCAGACGCGGTCAAAAGGTACTATGTTTGACCCTTTACGTAGCTTTAATGCTCTCTGATTGGGATGACGAAGGCTTTCATTCTCACTACCCAAATACTATTAACCCTTTTCTAACCCTTTGAACCAGATACATTTTTCTTGGCCACCCTCTTTGGAACCTTATATGTAATGAGAAAGAAAAAGAAAAAAAGAAAAAAGAAAAAAAAGAAAAATAAAAAAGAAAGAGAAAAAAGAAAAAAAAGAGAAAATAAGCAAAATAAAACAAAACAGAAGAAAAATAAAACAAAAATCAAAACAAGTTCAAGTTAATTGAACTACGTCCGACCTGATTCCGAAAGGATACATAGGCAGGCTCACTCTGGGGTTCGGTCACACCAAAATAAAAATTCATATTTCCCTNTCTTTGGAACCTTATATGTAATGAGAAAGAAAAAGAAAAAAAGAAAAAAGAAAAAAAAGAAAAAAAAAAGAAAGAGAAAAAAGAAAAAAAAAGAGAAAATAAGCAAAAGAAAACAAAACAGAAGAAAAATAAAACAAAAATCAAAACAAGTTCAAGTTAATTGAACTACGTCCGACCTGATTCCGAAAGGATACATAGGCAGGCTCACTCTGGGGTTCGGTCACACCAAAATAAAAATTCACATTTCCCTAGTATTCAAAGAAACTGGGGCATGATTTTATTTTATTTTCGATGGTTGGTCTATCAAAATGGTTCCAAAAGTTGTAATTCAGCTGAATAGTTCTTTTTACCTTTCCCTGCTAAGACCTTCTGATCAACTTTCGAGAATGCTAAGTCAGTATACTACGGGTGATGCCTCAGCCATTGTAAAGAAAGAGAAATAAATGAGAGAGTCTTATTGGTAAAAACCCTCACGGGCACTATAAGGCAATGGTGAGTTGAGAGAAAGGCAAATGAGAGACGAACGTATGTTTAAGTGGGAGAGAATGTAATGACCCGACCGGTCGTTTTGAGCCCTAGCATGTCGTTCAGCAGTTTGAGGCCATGAGTAGCTTCACTTCAGGAATTATGACTTATACGCATGGTCGGAATTGAAATTTGAATATATTGTGGGATCGGGTTTCACGCCGCAACGAAAATTGATGGAAATAATAATTGGTTATGACTGCTGAGTTGGCTTCAACTGTTAAAATGAGTTACCTGATTTATTTCTATTATTGTTGTTATTACTATTATTGCATACATATTAATGTAAGTGACCTGCCTTGGCCTCGTCACTATTTCGTCGAGGTTAGGTTCGGCACTTACCAGTACATGAGGTCGGTTGTACTGATACTACACTCTGCACTTCTTGTGCAGATTTCAAAGTTGGTCCCAGAAGCGTACTGTAGATCTGCCCGGATACAGCTACTAGTGGAGACTTGAGGTATAACTACACAACATTCGCAGTTCTGAAGTCCTCTTCTATATTATCACAATTGTGTACTATATTTCAAACAACTTAAATTTTATTCAGACCTTTATTTGTATTATTCTAGAAGCTCGTGCACTTGTGACTTCAGTTCTGGGATGGTATTTAGATATCACAATTATTATGGATTATTCACTATATTTCAGACTTTATTTCCGCATTTATTTTCTTGTTATTTAATTAATTTAAAATTTTGTTAAAATGGCTAATTATATTCTAACGTTGGCTTGCCTAGCAGGTGAAATGTTAGGCACCATCACGGTCCCGAAGGTAAAAATTTCGTATCGTAACACCAACCGTCTGGAATGACATTCGAGACAGTGACACTCTGCTTTGTTTCTGAAGTAAGTCTGAGGAAAAAGGAGGTTTCTATGTATCTGGTTGTATGCCAACACTCCAAGTTGCCTCAATCATTCGCTGTATTGGTACCCAACTCGAATTGCTTGTTTGGATTTCAATTAAAGAAAGGTCACCATCTCCATCTACTGCTTCAGATGTAACCGTAAAGAAATTAGGATCCCCCCCTCAAATATAAAACCTTCGTATAATAGGGAACAAAGAAAGTAACTTTTAGTTTTTGTAGAACAACTCACCTTTGGTAAAAAATCGAGATACTTCCTGCATTATATAATTGTGAAGCTTCACCAGACTTTGCCAATTTTTCAAAGGCAATTTCACTTATATCGAAGTGAACCAGATCATTATTGCATACTCTTGGGCACTCATCTGTAAGGGTTACTGTTATTGGATTCCCTGAACAATGCGGATTTTGGTCTTGGGTGCACAACACCTGAAAAACAATGCCGATATTATAAAGATGTCATGCATTTATGCATGAAACTAATATATTCATGCACATTTTTTTTGTTTGTTTTTGTTTTAGAGTTTCATTTCCTTGTCATCTCATTCAAAATAAGGTACAATTATTCTAAAATTATAGATTTATAAGATTAGTAGCGAAATTAGAAATTATGTCTAGTGGATTCGAAAAGATCTAAAAATATTACATTCGGAATTTGTACCTATATTTTCTCTTATAAGGAGATTTAAAAATTTATATATTATATACACCCAATTTACATTATATAACTTTTTAACAAAAGAAATTTAATTGAATCTCATTCATTTTATGTGGCTTCGCTACATAAAATATGTTTACCTGGTAGCATGCACCACATCCGAGCCTTGCTTAAATAGAGCTTGATTTTCCGCCATGATCATTGCATCGTAGGGAGCGCTCACTACGTCATTTTCGAGCCCACATGCTCCACCTAGAATAGAATAGTGAGAATAATTTATGTATTTCAATCATTTAGCCCTAGAATCATTAATAAAATATGTAAAATCGATACTATATTGGTCAACCATTTCGGTGAACATTTGTCTACAAAATTCTATTCGTATAATATTTTTTATTATGTCGCAGAAGGGAATAGGAAATTGATAAGGGTATTGCAAGAGCAAAGCAAACCCTCACCAACAAAGTGAAATTCAGATAGCTAACCAACAACTGAACTATTAAAATTTACCTTCAAAGTTGTATTTGAAATCTAAAGTAGGTTTAATTTAATTTTAATCTAGTAGGCCTACTACATAAATCTTATGAAAAAAAAAGAGTAGAAACAAATGACATTTCAAGACATTACCACTCCCAGGACTAGTAGGATTTTCATAAAAGGTTGCAACAGCTTGTGAATAACCGCTTGGTTGGCAAGAGGAAAATCTAACCAAATACGAGCAAAAGGCTACAAAAATCCAAAGGAAAAGACACTGGGAGAAATTTATAGCCATGGCGTAGTAATTATATTTGATTAACTAAGTGATGCTATAATATTTTTTATTAATTTCTTATGCAATACCATGTTAATTGGTACTATTTATAGTTAAAAACAAATATTAGTAAGTTGAGGATATTATCTATGAATAATGAACCATTTTGTCAAAGTTGAGAATATTAACCAGTGTTTTAAAAGGCATTTTCGGGGCGAGCCCTGGGGCGAGGCGCACCAAAAACGCCCCGGGGCGATGGTGTGGGGCGAAAGTCTCAAGAGGCGTACGCCCGGGCGTTCGGGGCGTACGCTCGGGCGTTCGGGGTGCGGTTTTTTAGTGAGGCGTAAGCCCCAAAGATGTTTTCAAATTAAAACAAAATTTGTTGAATAAGTCTTCATATAATACCCAAATTTTTAAAATTCAGCTTGGTAATTACTCAAAAGTTTTAAAAAGGAATTGAAATATATTAAATTTAAAAGTCAAGACCTTTTTTATTGATTGAAGCCCCAATTCATGGTCTTTCTCAATTCTTTATCTTGTCCGCTAGTCTGCTAATATCTCTCAAAAGCAACAAATAATCAATTTTTATTTTACAAATACAAAGAGAACTCCATTCTCCTTCATAGCAGCAAGTTCAAAGCTCAAATTGCAGGTTGGTCATCCTTTTTGTTCCTCCATGTAGAAAACTTTATTCTTTTCNCTATGAATAATGAACCATTTTGTCAAAGTTGAGAATATTAACTATGAATAATGAACCATTTTGCCAAAGTTGAGGATATTAATTATGAAAGATGAACTATTTTACTAATTTGAAGTAAGAACTTTATTGCCTCACTATTTAGTTTGCAGATTTGTAATGCATGATTATAAAGTAGGCGATTGAAAGATTACTCCATCTCATAATTCTCAATTTCTCATCATTCGTTAATTTTTTTTTTTCATTTGCCAACTAAACACCATATGATTCAAGGCCTCTACAATCACAGAATAAGAGGCATGTAGTAAACATATCTAAATGTATAACAACTAACCATAAGTTGAGAATATCAAAAGAAAAATATATTGATTAATAAATACTTGGCTTAGTTTTTTCAAATGATAAACTTTTGCATAAGAAGCATTTTTTTGCAGTGATAAACCTCATTCTTTGTCATGCCCCGAACCTGGCCCTGGACGTAACACGTCATTCGGTGCCCGACTACATGTGACCGAGCGAACCAACTGACTGACTGAATCAACATGTAATATCATAACATACTGAATGCAGAAGATAAACTAATACATGCTGATATACTGGAAGTCTGAGTGTTGTAAATCAAAGTGCGAAAACACTAATACAAGTCTGAAACATATATGTAGTCAACATTGCTTAATATGAAAAGCCTATGACTCTGTCTAACTGTTACTCTAGTCTATGAAACCTCTAATGAAGTACTGAAAACACTGACTCTAAAAATACTGAATACTATAAAGTAATGATAATGCCCCGAAAGAACCGGGGCTCACCAAATAGCTGGTATGAAAATTCTAGCGCTCTAAATCGTCAACCTGAAAATTATTACTTGCATCATGAGATGCAGACCCCGAGCAAAAGGGATGTCAGTACATTTGAATTGCACTGGTATGCAAAGCAACTGAAAGAAAGAGTTGTAAATGCTGAAACTGAAACTAAATTGATAAGTGAGAACTGATAACTAGTAACTGAACTGATAACTGATAACTGAACTGATAACTTATAACTGATTACTGAACTGAACAAAGGAAGTAAGGATATGAATACTCCCTCTTCTGAATGATGAACCACATGTTTATCTGAATAAATAAACTGCGGCCTCATGCCCAATATATATATGCACAAACCGTGGCCTCAGGCCTAAGTATATGTATACATAACTGCGGCCTTAGGCCCAAAGATGCATAAAGCATAAACTGTAGCCTCAGGCCCAAAGATGCATAAAGCATAAACTGCAGCTTCAGGCCCAAATACAGGTGTTCAGCATTCAGGGATTTAAAAACAAGAGCTGAGAATCGTATTGTAATACTGCAATACCGAAC